CCTCGGCGCTGGACCTCAGCGTCTGGGCAGAATGATGGGGGTGGAGACGCTCCTTCAGGGATACTGGGCCGAGGCCGTTTAGGGCTTTAAAGGTCAACACCAACACTCTGAATTGTGCTCGGAAACGTACTATTGAGCTTCTGCATTAACGAGAGATCAATAAACCTCCCAATTTATTTTTTGAAAGTTACAGAAAGTTAACTTAAGATCAAGAACATTTGGTTATTTGTAGACATCTGTGTTCCTATCCCTTAGTAAGGCCAATGCTGAGCTGGCCCTCATCCATGGGCTCCATAAAGAAAGACAGGACATGGAGAAATTCCAAACAGTTATTTTATGTCACTGGCATAGGGGTTTTAAGTCTATAGTCTGGCTTCTCTCTCAAGAAGTGGAGCTCTGTCTAGCACTCGCTGTGGACCTGAAGAAGCATTCTTGTGGCCCCTCAAGGGCTGTCCTTGGGGTGTCAGCCACAGATCTTTCCCAGAGTCATCTCTCTCATACTTTGTAGTGGAACGGTTCCTCTCCAATCACAAATTTCTCCTGGTCCCACCTGTGCCTCTCAGGGGTTACCCAGTTTGTGCCAGGCCATGTCAGGTGTCCATGAGCTGGAAGACTTAGAAGGACCTTTCTCCTCTCCTAAAGAATGCCCAGCTTATATTGAATGCCCTAAACAGCCTGAGGTCCAAATACCATACCACAGTGTCTATGAATTAAGATCAGGTAGCCTCTTTAGCAGAAGGCCTTTTCTTGAGTAGCACCCCACCATTGTAATGTCATTCCTAAGGAGGCATGTCTGGCACCAACATTCATAGCTTTACTTATTTGCACAAACATTTTGGATGATTTTGTGGGTTTTTTAATTTTTTCTGTTTTTGTTTGACTCTTGTTTTGTTTTATGTTTTCATGCTTATTTGTTGGTTTTAAATTAAGAAATATTTTTAATAAAGGATCCAGCTTAACTTTACTGCTGTTCCTAAAGCCTCTGTTCTTTGCCAAGGGTATGAGTATGGATCACCTCTTTCAAGTGGGCAAGTTCCTACTGCTCTCCCCACCCTGCCTTCTTCTCACTGCCCAGAATGGCACTTACTCCTGCTGGCTGCCTTGCCTCCTTCCTCAGGCACACCTATTGAAGGTATTGTCTTCCCTCTTCCCATGTCCCAAACAGCCATCCTCCTTCATTCTGTTTCTCCTCCATGCTTTTCACCTTAATCTCCAGTTACTTCATCTACCCTCCCTATGTCTCTCTAGAGTCATTTAAAGGGTTCCACAGCCTCTGTGGCACCTGTTGATCACTGGACCAGGCGTAAGTGAGTGGTATACCTGATATTACAAATCCGCTCCACTTCCCAGTGGGGAGGAGTTGCAGTGGACTGCGTGGCCACCCACTTCCCACTGGGGACGGGGGACTTTGTCCCCCGTTGCCTGGGGGATCCCGGCCACGTCAGAGCTCAGCCAGCCAATCCGCTGGCCAGGGGGACGTGGCCAGGGGCCATTTAAACTGAGAAGCAAGCCAGAGGACTTCCTCTTTGGCTCGCTTCCTCAATCACCCTCCCTCCTCCCTATTTTGCAGGTTAGGCAATGGCCTTGCTATGGACTTCGGTTGGTTGCCTTGGTTGTCCGAGGGGCCTGGTAGGAATTTTTCCTCTTGGCGAATTGGCACTGGCCACTTGGTTTTCGCCTACCTCGTAGCAATCGTCACAATTTTGTTAGGGTTGTGGTTAGGCATTGTTTGACCTTGTATGGGGGAGGGGAGGTGTGGCCATCACCTGCCCCTCCATGCTTAAGGGTATTCCGTTAAAGGAATCCGGGGGTGTTGATCTTGTCCGAAGCCTGGCTGGGGGCTAGGGCCTTGGCAAGACCCCGACGGGAACACCAGGGGGAGCTTAAGTTGGTTCACATCGATAGGGCTCCCCCTACCGGTGGCTTACCCTTACTGGACTTCCTGCACAATGTGCAGGAGTCAGATATAGTCAGGTCCAATCAATGCCTAAGCCAATACTGCTCACATTCTGTAATTCAATAAAGTTGTGGCCAAAATTTGCCCAATAACATAAACCTAATATCTGTGTCCTTGTGTGTGTTATTTCTAATGAGAGGGTGGCTGCGGGGTCTCGACACGCAATAGGTTCTAACATAGACTCCAAGGCAGCAAGGAGAGGAGGGCAAGTGTCTGAATCTTTTGATCAATTTTCAATAATGTGTCGCAATTTATAATAGTGTTTGAACCCAAATATTTTTTTGTTTAATGAATCATGCTTCTGTGGTTTCAGGCCAAGATCCTAAGAGCCTATACCACTGGTTCCATAAGTCTTAATCAGCAACCTACATCCCATGCAACAAATGTTGTTTTTTTAGTGGAGGTGATTTTCCAAAATAGTTTATGTTACATCACATGTGTGTCTGCTATTTAAAATTAAAAAGGCCAGTCCTACTGGCCATGCCCCAAGACTCTGAGCACAGCTAAGTGGTAGCTCTTTGGATGCTGGCCATAACTGGCACCTCATATACTGATCCAGTTAAATGAGAATTTTGCCACAATACTGGCCGCAACTCCTGTAATTGCCCAGTAAGTAGATCTACCAATAAATTAGCCTGTGTATGAGTATAATCACTCTGCTGGAAGGCAACTTTACCATGTTCCTGGAATATTTTTCTTCTCCTTTTAAAGCAGAACTATAGGCATGGCAGTTGCCAAGCTGAAAGCCACAGCCACATGCTTCCCTTGTTCCCAAGTCACGAATTTAGTTCCATACAGAAATTGACATGATTTTCCCCACAGTGAGGGGCAATGCAGATAGGGGAAATCATGTGAAGGGAGGGATAAATGTCCCTCCCCTCAGCACTGCAGCCCTGATCCAAACCTCTCCCTATATATCTTCCTTTAGAATGACTGGCAATCTGACTGCAGATTTGTTGTCCAGTTTGGCCCTGAAGAGACCAGAGAATGGAGGTGGATGGAGAAGAAGGCAGGTAGGCAAGAAGATTGCTTCTCAGGAAGAACAGAAGGACAAAAAGAAGCACATAAAGAAGGAGACGGGTTTCCCTCAATCCTTCCCGTCTCACTCTCTTATTTTGTCTTCCTGTCATATTTTTTAATTCTGCATTTATATCTGACTGTTCTCCTGAGATGGAGCCCAAAATGGCACACATGTGGTTCCCAAGCAGTCACTCCTTCAGACACTGACCAGACTCATACCTGCTTAGCTTCAGAAAGGTGGTGGCTTTATGACCCAGTAGGCAGGGTGAACAAAAGGCCAGCAAGAGAACCTTCTAAGCTATTCTAACCACTTAACATTAGCAGATATCAGTTGACTGCAAAATGTCAAATGCAACCCCAAACCCCCTCACTTACCCAGATCCTGCATCACTTTTCCTAGCTAGCAGACCAGTGTCATCATAATAAGGAAACCTAGCTGTATTTTGTTTTCAAGTGTAGGTATTAACACAAAAGAGAAAGCAAAAATATGGAACAGCTCAATCCTACAAATCAGCCTCACAAGTGCTTTCGTGCCAAGGATAAGGTCCGCCAACAGTAATGCCAGCCCACTGTAACAATAATGCTATGTCTACTCTGCTAGGAATCGAGACTAACTCTGCAGTGGAAGCATACATTTCAGTGCAAAATGGACACAAGACTGTAATCGGAAACCCCAATGAAAGATATTCATTCTGCTCCAACAACCAAAACATACATTTAAAAATTAGACAGACTTCCTGTTCCTCAAACGTAACTGACATTTTGACATGCAAGAAAGAATTTTAGATTAACGTCTCAATCAATCTAGCCTATTTTAAAGAAAGTCAGTCTAGACTTTGAGCTTAAAGACAGCTATCAATTTATTTGCTAGTGGTTAGCTAAGTAAGAGGACTGCAATTATACTGTTACGTTTAAAAGAGCTATACGTCGAATATTTAAAACTATTATACATAATTTAAAGATCAAAAGAAGATAGCATGCTTTCCCCTTTCTCACGATTTCAGAAACGAAGCTGAGCCAGACTTATAAGTTTTATGTCCACTTAGGTCAGGAAAATTCCTGCTTGCAATCTTTTGTCTGTTATGGTTCCAAATGCTGGAGCCTGCGATGTTTTCATTACTAAATAATATATGAACCAACGATGTGTAGGTGGACTTTGGTTTCTGTACAAAACAAAGATATTCATATGGAAGCATTTGACCCCATCATCTAAAAAACGACCCTGCTCGTATGATGCGCAGACATGTCTAATATGGGATAGCATGCTTCATGCTCCTCCAAGTATTATGGGCAATATTCATACAAACAACTGAGTATTTGCATACTTTGTCCATACTGAAGCCATTAGACACTTATTCATTAGTTTGACCTCACAAAACACAGCTGTAACAAAAACATATCAAAACCATTCAATTATTCATTTGAGTTATTTGCTACGATGAGCGGTGAAAAGCTTACAGGGTGACTATGTAAAAGCAGTTCTTACATAGTAAGTCAGAGGTGGTTTTAGGGTAGTGCGACTGGTGTGGCTGAACTGGGCACTGTGCTGCAAGGGGCGCCACAACAATGCTGTAGAATGGAGCAAGAAAGGTGGAGGAATGCCAAATTTTAGTGTCGCACAGGGCGCCACTGAAATTTTAGTGCTCAAAGTCCGCCGCCGACTCAGTGAAAGGACTTGGAGATTCAATAAAGGTTACTTTTGATAAACAGAAAAAGCATGTAAGTATAATGTATATATCAGGCATAATTCATAGCATGATGAGAGCAAAGCCATTGTAGAAATCACAAAGGGCAATGAATTTATCACATCAGCTACTCATTTCTTACCATCTGCAGCAGAGAAGTCTGTCAGATTACTTTGAGAGGGAAGATAGCCTTTCTACACTCAAAACCTCTTTGCAATTGCACACGGGCAAATGCATGTCAGGAGGACAATTCTCATCATAAAAAAAATCACTGCAGGTGTTTTTCATATTTTTCTGGTAAGACATTCTCAGTAACAACAAGTGACCATTCTACATACCTGGTGGGCACCTGCATTCAGATGATACGTCTCTTGCTGTACGCAGTTTGGCTAATCCTTCACTCAGTTTCTGTTGGGGGGTGGGAGGACAAAAACATATAATTACAGAAAAGAAGTGGTGTGGGTGTGTGCATGCAAGTGCGCCCTTTAAATTGTATTACTGCTATTATTCATATACATACAATCCAAAGTTAAGCATTAAGGCCCGCTGATTTCATTAGGAAAGTTAAGCACATGCTTACATCCCCCCCCCCGCCCACTGAAACCATGAGATTTAAAACTGTACAGATTGACCACAATCTGTATTGTTAGCATGTGATGTGCCGTCTTAACTTTCTTTGTAGAAGACTTCATAGAACCACAGAATTGTAGAGTTGGGAGGGTCCTGAGGATCATCTAATCCAGGCTTCCTGAACCTTGGCCCTCCAGATGTTTTTGGCCTACAACTCTCATGATCCCTAGCTAGCAGGACCAGTGGTCAGGGATGATGGGAATAGTAGTCCCAAAACATCTGGAGGGCTGAGTTTGGAGGTGCCTGATCTAATCCAACCCCCTGCACAGCAGGAATCTCAAGTAAAGTATCCATGGCAGATAGCCATCCAACCTCTGCTTAAAAACCTTCAGGGAAGGAGAGTCCACCCCTTTTGAGGAAGTCCATTTCACTGTTTCACCCTTTTAGCCTACAATTATGATATTCTATGATACAGCACTCCCAAATACATGGCAATGGTGGAAATTTATTAGGGTATGAAAGGTTGTCCCTGCCTGTATATGAAGAAGGCTTTTCTAATCTTGGGGTCATTTTTGGTGGGGGTGATGGTTTTTTTTAAACCAAGTGTGATGAATTGATTCAGAAACAGAACACTCTTAGTACGTTGGTGACTAGCGTACTTCTCCGTGTTCTTCTGTGCAGAGTTCTAGAAGGCTTACCAACAAATCCCTAACGTAGTTATTTATTTTATGAAATGCTTAAGGATTGTCATTTATAAAGACTGCTGAATTCCCAGCAACATGGGTGGCAACACTAAACAACTCTTGGTTGTATTTCACATTAGCTAGCATCCATGGGACTGTTTTGTCTTTTAAGATGAAGAAATGCAAGTATTGGTTTTTGTATTGTACAGATATTTGTGCTGTATGTTGTAAACCGCCTTGCAGTCTTTTGATGAAGGGCAGTATATAAATTTAATAAATAATACTAAATAACAAAAACATCAGCAATAGCAATCATAATGGATCTGTTTGTAGCAGAAACACCACAACCATTTTGCCATGTTTTGCTCCAATTCTCTCCCACAAATGCCAAGCCACGGTGTTTCTCCTTAAGTAGGGATTTCCTTTGGGTGTGTGCAGATCATTTATGGTCTGGGAGAACATGCAGGGGAGAATTCAAGGAAAGGATTAACACTCACATTTTGATTCACTCCCTCAATTGCAAAACCATATTGTTCCAAAATGTCTAGTTCCAACCGTAGTTGCAGACACTTCCAAGTTTTAGGACTGGCCAATAAACTGAATGTTTTTAAGGCTACTAGGAAACAATATAGTTATTGTGAATTAAACCAGTGTTGTTTGTTTACAACTACATACTTCTTTAATCTGCACTCATTAACATTTCTGCTCTAGCATGAAGACCATCCACTTTGAATTGAAGTCTTTGTTTCAGAACAAGTAGAGAGGTATTACTACATCCCAGTCTTTGGGCAGGGGGTGTTAATGCATTAAATTTTTCAGTTAAATGGCAACTTGGTACCAAAGTAAAGTTTACAGAGAAGCCTTTGACTGCACTATTTAGAATTTCATTTGGCTATACTTCCAAAAGCTCTTCGTAAACTTATTAAATATTTGAACAGATAACCATATTCGGATTTTGCACCCCATGCAAAGTTTTAATTACTTCCCAATGTCTCTGTTGGTTTTCTGCCCTATGACTCAAATTTTAACTAAACAATGACAGGCATTTCTAACAATATTTTACATTAAAATAAAGTGTAAATACTAGCTGCTGAAACCAATTTTCTAAAAAATTAAATGTTGCAAATTCAAATAATTAATTTTCCAGATGTAAAATTCACATTGATGATATGCAATTAACGATGTCATAAGAATCCAAAGTGGAGGATGCTGAACTGCCGTATCTAGAGCTTGAAGTGTACATGACAGCAAAGAAGAAGTTAGGACAGAATGACATTTTTCCTTGCTGAGTTTTGTCATGATTTTTTAAAAAAATTATATCCCCACTCATGGAGAAGGAGAATACATACATCAGCTGCATGACTGGCACATGTCTTGCTCACCCTGTCTTCTAGGTTCAGTTGCACCTAACTACTTCAAATCTATACCTTCACTAAAATGCCTCCAGAATGCTCATTTTTTTGCTTCTACCAACACTAGAACTCCTATATCAACAAGGTAAGGGCCATGGAGGTTTCCGCAGTTGTGAGGTCACATTAGGTTGGATTTCACTATCCAAGGGCATATGTCTCCTCCATCTGCAGAAAAAGACCAGAAGCATTCTAGACCCCAGGGATCATAGGTTTGCGTACTAAGGATTAAGCATATACATTGATGCATTTTAAAACAATAATTTTCTTAACTATTGCATTGCTGAGAGAGAACCTTTAGGTACATTTTTTGCCTTACATGAAAGACACCAATAACTTTTCTTGGCTGCAAACAACAGGCCTGTACTCACATATAACCTACTCTCTGGATGCAACTCTGGGAATTAGTATTAAGCATTTTATGTGTATCCACACTAAAAAGATTCCTTCAAGCTTCATACTTTGCTCACCTAGTACCACTGATAACACAAAGAATCCACATGTCCAGAGTCCAAAACAGTTTTAACAATTCACTGTTAGATTTTCTTCTTTGCTTTCTTTAGATTATTTATATAGTGCTCACCTACATTCCTAACTAAAACCACTTATAAGCATTTTTCTAACACAGTAAGAGATAATCCCTGCCTTTAAAAGTTCATACAATCAAAAGAAGACAAGATAAAACACACCTGAATTTCCAGGTAGGGCTGTGATATAATACTACTACTACTACTACTACTAATAATAATAATAATAATACCCCTCAGTTTTGACTCATTTAGCAGCTGTGGTCACTCCTACAGAAGAATGGCCTCTGAGACACATGGCTTTGTAACCTTCAGTGTGGACTACTGTAATGCACTCTGTATGGGGTTGCCTCCAAAGACTGTTGAGAAACTTTGCCAGGTCCAAAAGTGTCTGCCTGATTAGTTACAGGGTGAGCCAAAGGGAATACATTAACCAGATGCTAAAACCAGTTGCTTTCCACCTTCCTTTCAAGTGCAATTCTGAGTGCTAGTTTTAACCTTTAAGCCCTAAACAACCACAGCCAAGATTGAGGAAAAATTTCTTTCCTCAAACTCAGAATACACTTAGAAGAGACCCAGCCCAGAGTCTTTTCTTTGCCCTGATTGGCAGACACAAAAGAGCAGGACTCTCTCAGTAGTTAACTGCTCCTCTTTATATTGTCAATTGCCCTGTGATCCTCAGGTGAAGGGTGGAATATAAATTTTAAGAATAAGAATAAGAATTCCCTTCCCAGGAAAGCCTGCCAGACAGATTCCAATCTAGCATGAGAACAGTGAAAACATAAATTTTAGCAGGTGTTTGAGAAGTGAGTTGGGTGTTATTTCAAGCAACTTTTAATGTTTACTTTTTGGAGTGCAATTTGCACTTGTTTATGGGGATTTAACTGATTTATTCTATAAAAAAGATTAAGTTGTTTGATTTTGTAAGCCACCCTAAGGATTTATCTGGAACCAAAGTGACAAAAGCACAGTGCAAACACAGGGTACCTTGGTTTATGAACTTAATCTGTTCCGGAAGTCCATTCTTAAACCAAAGTGTTTTTAAACCAAAGTGTGCTTTCCCATAGCAGCAGGGGACTCAATTTACAAATGGAACACACTCAACAGGAAGCAAAACATGTTCTTCTTCCAAGGCAAGGTTCACAAACCAAAACACCTACTTCCGGGTTTGCAGCGTTCTTAATCCAAGTTGTTCATAAACGAAGCTGTTCTTAAACCAAGGTACCACTGTAAATGAAAAAATGCAGGGCACAACATACAAATTGGAACTGTCATTTGGGCTGTAATCCTATGCGCAATTTATCTGGGAGTAGACTCCATTAAACTCCATTAAACTCTATGGAACTTGCCTCTGAACAAGACTGCATAGGATTTCACTAAAAATGGCAAATGCATGATAAGATGGGAAAACATTTCATGAAAAGAATTAATCTTTTTTATTTTTGAAACAAAATGCCTTTGTATAATGAAACTCAAAAGGGCACGATCACTTTCTCCCAAAGTTCCCAGTACTTCCACGTTGTCGATCAGTTTTTCCCTGTTGGTGAGGACCAGTTCCAAGATAATGATGAATATAGTTGGGCAAACTGGCTGCCCCCAAAGTAACTCTGAATGTTCGTTGGAGGAAGGCAGTTTGCCCAGCTATATACAATCTATTAACAAAAACAGAGAAGTTTCTCTACTTAGCCTCTTTGTTCTGTGTATTCACCAAAGTAATTGATTTCCTAACTTATTGATTAGAGGAATTCTACAGGTTTCCTTTAGGACAAGGTCTGACAGGTCAGAGAGGTGGTAGCCTGGGAGAAATGCTCACCCTTTGACGACAAGCTGTTCTTGTCCTTAAGAATATTTCTATGCAAGTTCATTTGAGATCTCCATGACTGTGTGGTTTCACCTACAGAGATACTCTTGGGACATTTTGTGCAGTATGAGAGTGAGCTATACCACATGCTGCAATGCCCCCTTGGAGCTCTCTTCTTTCAGCTAGCATGCCATCACTGATCTCCCTTCAGTGACATCTCCTCCCTTCTTTGGCACTGTCCCATAACAACTAAAAATAACAAACTGGCAATACAGTTCATAGGCAACATTACATTTGCTTCCCTTAAGGAAATGCTTTAGCAAAAAGAACTTTCAAGGTTTAAGATTGCTTTTCTACACTGCCTTCCATTATTCCTTAGTCAAATCCTGAAGCCATCAAGTCCATTTGTGGCTTATGCACATGAGCAAATAGCATCAAGGAAACCAGTGAACCATCTTATAAAATATAGGAAGGCAATGAAGAACTGGTTCTTCATACTGTGGATTTTGAGGCTAAGAATTATCTTCTGACATACATGACAATATTATAAAAGGAAGTGATTCACATAATGCAACAAGTAATGCACATTCCTTAACTGTCAAACACCTAACATGTAGTAGTAAGTTTCAGGGAGTGTTGCTAAGTACGGTATATGAGCCTACTACTAGGGTGGCCAAGTAAAGGAGAGGTGAGGGCTCTGGCAGCTTTAATAGTTGAGAATGGAATTTCAGGAGGTGTAGCTTACATACAATTCTCTCTTCTACACAATTAATAAAGGAGCCGGAGCCCTGGTCTGTCTGTCTTTCTTTCTTTCTTTCTTTCTTTCTTTCTTTCTTTCTTTCTTTCTTTCACCTGGCCACCCTATCATCATAAGAACATAAATAATAAGAAAGCATTCCCTAAGGAACTTATGGATTTCCATATTATTTGTTTATACGAATGTAAATATGATCTTGCCCATCTTGGAAATGTAACCTTCACCATAGCCAATACTTGCAAGAAATTATAGTGTAATTCTAGGTGCATTTATTGAGAAGTCCACTGAGTTCAATGGGGCTTATACACCACTAAATGTGTAAAGTATTGCAGCCTTAGACTGCAATCCTACACACACATACCTGGATATAAGCTCAGAATTTAACCTGGAGAATTTAACCGAAAGCTCATACCAAGAACTAACTTAGTTGGTCTTTAAGGTGCTACTGGAAGGATTTTGTTTTGTTTTGACTATGGCAGACCAACACGGCTACCTATCTGTAACCTGGAGCAGACACACATAGAATTTCCCTGGCACTCATTTAAAACAAAGCAGCTGACTTAGTAGTAGTAGTAGTAGTAGTAGTAGTAGTAATAATAATAATAATAATAATAATTATTATTATTATTATTATTATTTATACCCTGCCCATACATGGTGTTAATCAATGGTTAATCAACAGTGTTAATTACAGTATTCATTGATTTATCATCCAAGTACTTCAGTACAGTCAAAACACTTTTAAAAAATTGCTCAAATATGCTCAAAAATTGCTCAACAATTAAATATTATCCAACAATCGAATTCCTTTTTACAGGGCAAGAAACAATTTGTAATACTAATCAAAAATTAATTGTTTGCAAAATGTATCTGGACAGGGATGAAAGTTCCCATTAGAGAGCTAAGATTTTGCCTCCCATCTGTATTTTGCTCTCTTTACAATGATGCCTCTTCAACCTAAAATCAAACCAACATATATATGCTGTCCATATCTTATCCATAATTATCATTCCAAGTAAAGAACTGATTCTGCTATGTCAGTTCCTTTCGCTGCACTACTACTACTACTCCAAAAGCGACTTCCCCACTCCTCCCCTCTTGCTCTTCTAGATCAGTCTTTCCTAACCCTGTGCCCTTCAGATGTTTCAGACTGCAGCTTTCATCAGTCCTCACCAACATGGCCATGCTGGCTGAGACCAATAAGAGTTGTAGTCCAAAACATTTGGAGGGCAGCAGGCTAGGGAAGGCTGTTCTAGTTATTTATCACATACAAATAACCTTGAACTGATCATACAAACGACATAGAAATTCCATCCCAAATCCAAAATACTGATATAAGTGCTCTATCTATAGCCAGGAGCGCACTCCAGGATATACTGCAAGTTTTACTGTGGCAGCAAAGGGATTAGGATGGAATATGCTTAACAGTTATTGGACAATTGCCTTACATGAGTGAGCTGTTAGTAATACAGCAGACTTAAGAATCCATGTAGCCTGGGAAGCATGCCCACACTATCCAGAACTGTCCATGTTTGATGGATGACATTTGAAGCTCTGCAAGATCTGTATCCGTCAGGTCCATGTGAAAACTCCCTGCTACTATTTCCTTGACTTGGCTGCTCACAATCAACAGCAAAACGGGTTAAAGACAGCCTATATACACTGCTGTCAGGTTTAAACATTGAGCAATTTGGGGGCAGTTTTTCCATAATGGAGCTATACCTACATAATGATTTACTCTGGCCTTATTTTACATATATTTTTCATAAAGTATTCACAACCAAGAGACCTGAGCTGTCTTGTACAATCTAATATCAAGACAACTCACAGGGAAACTGTGCTCTTAGTGCGAGTCTGGATCTGAAGCATTTAACAATTAAAAGGTCTATCCATGATCTCCAGAATTCAAACAGCTGGCCAAAGTCTTATGGATAAGAAAACCCTAAGTGTCATCATGAATGTTATCTAAAACTACTGGTCCAATATCGTTCTCTGTCTCCTCTGGCATGAGCCTTCACACTAGTCTCTGGAGAGATAATCAATATTAGCTCATTGCAACAGAATAATAAAAAAACATTGAAAACATTGTGCACTTTAAAGACTTGTATATTTATATTATAATGAAAGCTTATGCAATAAATAAATAAATGTGTTGGTCTTTATGGTGCCACAAGGCTCTTTCTCACATTTATATTAGTGGTTCTCACAAAAAGAGAACCCACCAGTGGAGAATCATGAAGTTTCATCACCACACGGATCAAAGAAGCTGGGCAATTAGGAAGGTCCTCTTGAGGAAACACAATTAACTTTTGTAAGCAGTAAAATGTTTGGCACTTTGCTTCCATACAAGCCTTAGCATCCATCAAAATGCTTTTCATCATGCAATTAGCACACAAGCTCCAAGATATGGGTCACACTTTGTAAACCTTTGCAACTCTATTCAGAAGTACTCGAGCAATGCAATTAAATTTCTCTTTAAATCTTACAATAGCACTAACATGAAAAGGTTACTAAAGTACCTCTTATTTTGAGGAATTATTGTTAAAATGATGTGGATTTCCCCAGTCTTACAGAATGTGATGTTTGTAATATTCAAACTTCTTCAGTGGTCCATAGCAGAGACCTGCAAAGCACTTATTTTTGAAAAATTGGTTCAGTCACCAATGTATGTTTTCAAAAGGTGCTAATGGCCAGGCTTTTCCCTGAGTGATGGCTTAGTTGGTAGAGCAGGAGATTCTTAATCTCAGGGTCCTGGGTTTGAGCCCCATGCTGGGTGAAAGATTCCCGCACTGCAGGGGGCTGGACTTGATGATCCTTGTGATCCCTTCCAATGCTACAATTCTATGATTCTATGAAATCACACCCTTTGATCTGAAAGCTCTTTCTCCTCTAATCCCAGATGTACTGGACCTGGCTGTAGTGTACTGATGGGACAGCATTCTGCACATGCTCAAAAGCACTCTTTTGCTCCCCACCTTTTGGAACTCATAGCCCTGGAATCTGAACATATTTTCCTGGCAGTGTGTGACAAGGGCCAAGGAAATCTGAGTTCTAAGCCGCTCAGTTCACTGCACTACACTGGGCCAGTCGATATATCTCAGCCTAGGCTGTTTTAATGAGGAAGAGGGTGGAGAGAGAAGGATAAGGAACGCTGTTCCAAACTCCTTGGAGGGAGGAGGAGGAGGATAACAGCACGCAACCAAGGGCACCCCATAAACTTCGCATTCAAAGGAGCTGGAGACGCTAGTCTGCCTGCCCCTCCAGCAGCTAAGTGAGAAGAGGTAACCCGATTCGCCTGCTGCAGCAGAAGCGACACCAGTGTCCTGGAAGGCACTTTCAAGGCGAACATAGCACAGCGCGCGCTTGGGGGAGCGACGGTCTACCAGCGCTTCATCAGATCGAAAGCTCTGGCCACGACACGTTCGCGAGGCTCCCAGGCTTGGTCAGCCTTGGAAGGCACTCTTCATGCGGCTCAGGGCGCTTGGCATACGCCACGGTGGATCCCTGTCAATCACCGCCAGTTGTTGGAGAAGTTGGAGACGGAGAGAGCTGCCGCAACCCTGCCCGCCTCCAGAGTCCTAGGCGTCCCAGGCGCCAGCAGCCCGTCCGCCTCCCTGCCCACTCACCTCCTGCAGGAGCCCGTCCACCTGAGGCTGCAGCAGGGCGAGCAGGGGCTCGGCGCCGAGCTGCTCGCCGGGGCTCCACGCGCGGCCGGCGGCCAACTCCTCCTCGAGGGCCACCAGCCGGCCCTCGAGCCGAGAGGTCTTGGCGTTGAGCAGGAAGCAGGCGCCCACCGAGAGGAGCGAGAAGAGCAGCGAGACGACGGCGGGGCCCTTGCCAGTGCCGCCGGGGGGCGAAGCCGCGGGCGCCTTCTTCTCCCGGGGCTCGCTCATTGCGCGGGGCGGGTGGCGGGCTCACGGTCCCCTCAGGGGGGGAGGCGGCGGCGGCTCCTGAGGCGGCTCTCTCCTCGCTCCTCACACTTGGGGCGCGCTCGGCGGCGGCACCTCCTGGCAGCCGGCTGTTGAGGAAAGTGGGGCAGGAAGTTTGGGAAGCGTGGCCTCTTTCCCTAGCATGGCCCTCCAGCTGCGCGGGGCGGGGGCGGGGAGGTAGGTGGGTGGTGGACTCTCCTCCTCCTCCTCCTCCCTCAGCGCTCTGGGACTGGGGAGGGGGAGAAGCTCGCCAGCCCACTCCTCGTCCTCTCTGGGGATTCCGACGCGGGTAGCCTCTCCCCCCCCCCCTCAATGGTTTCTCCTCAGTCTCCTCCCAGCGCGCGCGCGGGAGCTGCGCAAATAGCCCCGGCTGAAAGGGGAGAAGGGCGCTTCCAAAGCTGGAGGTGGGTTAAGAAGGGGCTCGTCTTCGAGCCTCGAGTCGTGCCTGCAGCTGCGGAGGTGTCAAATGCGGAAGGGTTCTCCTCTCTCCGCGCGCCTCCGCGCTTTGAGGAGGGTGATCACCGCCGTCCTGTCCGTCGCTTGCTCTGGGTGGGAGAGGGTCCCGTCCCTTCAAGCCACCGGGACTATTTCCAAGCGCTGGAGGCAGCCGGCGAGGTCTGTCAAGGGACGTGGAAGGCGGCGGGGTTGACGGGTGAGGGTTCCGCCGCGCGCGGATCCTCTTCCTTGCCCCGACTTTGCGAAACGAAAGGGCCACAAAAGTCCTGAAAGACCCAACTTGGAAAGAGGCATTGGTTTGTGACGCTTCACTTATTATGGGGAACCCGTCCTTCAAACTCGCAGGACGGTTTACACACAGAGAAACAGAAATCTGTTTTAAAACATATCAGTGTCCTTAGGCTGCAGTCCTGCACCCACTTATCTGGAAGGAGGTGCCGTTGAATCAGTGGGACTTCTTAGTAGATATGCGTAGCGTTGCGCCTTAGTATTTGAACTGCAGGGAAATTAACTGTGCAACATGCCAATCGAAAGTATTCCCACGGAATTACTGGGGCTTACTCCCAAATAAGGGACGCGGGTGGCGCTGTGGGTTAAACCACAGAGCCTAGGACTTGCCGATCGGAAGGTCGGCAGTTCGAATCCCCGTAACAGGGTGAGTTCCTGTTGCTGGGTCCCTGCTCCTGACAACCTAGCAGTTCAAAAGCACAAAGTGCAAGTAGATAAATAGGTACCAATAAAGCGAGACTGGACCTAATGGTCAGGGGTCCCTTTACCTTTTTACTCCCAAATAAGCAGGTAGGAGATCGCAGCTAGAGGGTCGCTTATTAATTTGAGCCAGGGCAAAGCGACGGTGCCCGTTTCCAAAACCCTGTCCCCCAAAGCATTTATTTACAGCTCTTGTGGGCAGCACAAATTCAAATCCCAGCTTAACTTCGGTTGCAATCCTGTGTTCCTCCGGCCTCGTTTCTGAGCGAGCATTCATAGGATTGGCTCCCTTGGCTGATGTGAGGCTAATTTGCAACACTGCTAGAGAGGGGTCTATCCTAAACTTGAAAAACACAAATCCCACTAACTGTAAAAGTGAGCAATGAATAGCAGAGCATTCCTGTCCTCAGAAGTAAGTCGCAGTGTGTTCAGTGTGCATGCTGAAATATATACTGAATTGGGTCTGAAAGCACATAATACATTTACCAGCTGGAAAAAAATACAGTGTCCCTGAGTTGTCCCCATTAAGCAACCACAGAAAGTTTGTAGCAATGGGAGGAAAGCGTGTTTAGGTTGGAGAACACAGCTTCTAGCACTTGCTGGCGCTGCAACACATCTCTCATGTACATTAAGCAGTGTGTTCAACAACAAAGGAACACAGGAAACTGCCTTGCACGAGTCATCTAAATCACTACAGTCTACCCTGACTGGAAATGGCTCTTCAGGCTTTTAGGCAGGTATTTCCCAGCCCTACCTGGAATTGCTGGAGACTGAACCTGAGAACCTTTCCATACAAAGCAGATGCTTCTGCCACTGAGCTCTGTATTTATTTCTTTATTACATTTATATATTGCACTTTCCCCAAAGTGGGTCCAGAGTGGTAAACACATAAATACTAAACCAGTACAACTAACTTTCAACCATCAGATGCCCAGGTAAACAGGAATGTTTTAACATTTATCCCAAAGCCAATAGCAAGCGAGACTGAAATACATCATTAGGCAAGGGGTTTAGCAAACAGGGAACCACCACCAAAAAGGCCATGCCATAGGTCACCACAACCCAGCAACCCCCAGTGCCAGAACTATGGCCCTTACCCATTGAGCTAAATCCGTTCCCTAGAGCAGATTCAGTCTCTGTGGGGACTGTTTCCCAGAATTAAGGAGTTCTGAAAATAATATATGGTACTTTATTTTCTTAAATGTGAAAATAAAACAGGGAACTTTAAAATAAAATAAAAAACTCCGCAATTTCCAAACGGCTATATTCCAGGACAGCTTAGACTGAAAAAGGAGAAGTGAGTACCACCAATCTTTTCAGAGCAGATCATAATAAAATAAGGGAAAGCTGGGAATCTGGCTCATAATTTCCCACATATTTTCTCAGAAGCAATCCCACTGTTTTCAATGGGCTGCATTCCTTAATGTGTGGATAGGATTGCAGCTTTCATTTGAAAAATAATCCTGTTCTCTGTGTGGTCCTATGATCCATGTCCACTACTAAATGAGGAAGTTGGGCCTGCTAAATGGCTGAGGTTGCTCCTATCTGGTAAAACAGCATGGCAGGGACAAGTTCTAGCAACCTGAATCCTGATTACTTCAGTAACAATAAGCTGTCCCTGTGAGTTAGGGTGGTGCAGTGGTTAGGGTGTTCTGCTACAACTGAGAAGAAACTCCAACTCAATCTTGAAGTTTACTGGGTGGTCTTGGGCCAGTCACTCTGAGTTGTAACCAATTAAATAATTGTGTGCTGAAGAACTGCCATGAGCATGACAGAACTTCCCCCGTCTCCTTTTCCTGCACGCCATTGCACAACACCCAAATCTGCTCCAGAAGATTGGGGGGGGGGGACCCAGAGCACACTTGAGGAGCATGGGGCAGGGAAGTTCTGTTGCACTTGCTTTATACTTAACCGCTCCTGTTTTGATGTCTGCTTTGCTGCTTTTCAGAAACCTGTTGATGCTGTTTTTTCTGATGAGTTTAAAAACTGATGTTATAATCTTTCTGGATATCTTAGTTGTTTATACACCCCATCCCTGGGAAGGTAGCCCATCTAGAAGTAAAACTCTGATTCTAAACCTCTGCTGTCTTGCAGGATATCTTTGGGAGAAGAAAAGATGAAGGAGAAAACCCTGCACAAATTCAGAGTGAAGTCCCTAAGACGGTTGGATAGTGCCTTGTATGTCTCCATCCAGCAATTCCTACAGCCATGCTGGTGCCAAACATATTGCTCTGCTTTCCTTTAGCCTACATCAGCGAGGCCGAGAGGGGGATCTTGTCATCTGTGCTGCTAACACAGCAGTTTGGGTTCACCCCCAGAGGCACACAGATTGTATCTTGAGACAGACAGATGCCAGCAACAGTTGGTTATCATTTTTTTAATGTTTCAAAACTGTAATATTGGCTGCCTCCTTGGGAAGGGTAATCTCTGAAAGCCAACATATTAAAATTAAATAAGGTGTACATTTAATTGGAAGTAAGCCCCATTGAATTCTGATGCCTGCTTTTGAAGAAAAATACTTAGGATTGTGCTTCATGGGACATTGGCATACGGTAATCAAATCTCTGTGCCTAAGGGCAAACAAAGTGTTCTTAGAAAAAACAGGTTCTCCCTCTGTTCTTCTTAGAGCATGTTCCTGATCAACTCTGTCCAGGCTACTAAGAACATGCACCTATTCTGTAAATATTGTTGTTGCAGAAAAACCATCAAATGAATGATGGCCTACTTTTCATCTCTAGGCGGTTTACAGTCTAAAAAACAAATACAGTCGAACCTCAGTCCACAAACGCCTCTGTCTTGGAACGTTTCTGCTACCGAACACCGAAAACCAGGAAGTAAATGCTCCGATTTTCGAACGTTTTCCAGAAGCTGAACATCTGATGTGGCTTCCACTGAGTGCAGGAAGCTCCTGCAGCTAATCAGAAGCCAACATTTCGGAAGCCAAATGGGCCTCCAGAATGGATTATGCTTGACAACCGAGGTTTGACTGTAATGTAAAATTAAAGTGAAAACAATATAAAACCACATTCAACTGTTATACTTTTAATTCTGCAGCTGTTCAACCTGTGCAGAATTGTAGCAATTCTAATCTACTGTCTTTTGCTAAGATTGTGATTCTCTGTCGGTAACTGGTTCGTGTTGATGCCCTCTACTACAAAAAGTATTGGCAGGATCAAGACAGAGGAAGAAAATAGCAACTGCCATCCAAAACCAGTAATGGTAGCAACAGTCCACCAGCATAACAAAAACCACTTTTATGAGGTACTTCCTGTTTCATTTCCTGCTTTGGCACTACAAGCACAGTCGAAAGCAAACATCTGGAAGTTCCTTAAATCTAAATGTGCTTTGATAACATTCCCAGGTAAGCCTAACCATTTTAATTCACAAAGTCCCCATAACATCTTCTAATTTGTGGGTTTATTTCCTGTTACACAATTCGGAAATGCCAAAGATCCCATTCTACTACCCCAAGATGGGAGGGGAGGGGGAGAGAAAGAAAGGGATTCTCTTTCGCAATGTGCATCTTCATCTGACTTGTTCATGGCACACACACAAAAGTGTTTTGAGATAATCTACAAACATGCAGGGAACTCTTCAGGTAGCTTGAAAGGGAAGCCAAACCAAGCTGTTTTAACATTTCCCATTACACCATGGATAGGGAACCTGTGGAGCTTATAGAATGTGGAGTCTAACAACTTATGGATTGCCACAGGTTCTTCATCGTCAATGTTTGGTTTTTTTGTTGGTTTTGTGTGTATGGTCAGTGTCAATAGCACAGTTATCACCACCTGTACTTTCTGCATTTCATTTCCCTTTGACCTCACTGTTCAAGTTTACAATCCCCACTCCAACTCCAAACACATTTTTGTAATGCAACTCAGGGTAAGATTCAATTTATGAATCTGATGGAATGCACTGTAATCCATGAAACCTTGTGCTTGAAAACCTTGTCTTGAAAACAATATTCCATGAAACCTTGTCGTGAAAACAATATTCCATGAAACCTTGTCTTGAAAACAATATTCCAGAGCAACTCATTCATTCTACTTCAGGTTCAATCTGAAGAGATGCATGGCTTTACTGGTACATTTTGTTGGGAAGGGGAAGAAAGGGAAGCATGTAGTTGCCCAGTTACCACAATGCAGCAATTATGGATTTTCCCGTTATTTTATGTGGGCTACTCAGGGAAAGGAAAACAAAGGAAATGGCATTCAAGCAGACTGTGAGACTCTAGCACCTTTGGTCCCATCTGCACTTAAGCTGCATCGTACTGTGTTTCGTTAAGGGTGCTGAGACTTGTTAGGATACTCTTATTCCCCCCAGAGAACTACACTTCTCAGAGTTACCTGGGAAGGATTAAATAATGGTTCTGTGAGGGGAATATGGGGTCTTCTAACAATTCTCAGCACCTTTAAGAAACCACCGTTTGGGGGAAGGGATGGTACTGCTTCAGATGGATAGTAAAGATGAGGCCCAAGTCTCTTGCTGACAGCAGCTCAGCATGGAAGCTCTTAACATATACTACTATCCTGGCTACATAGCAATAGAAAAGTCTGGTTCTGTGTTGGCTGCTAGCCCCAGTTCTAAACCCTGTATATAATGGTTAGGGTGTGTTGGATTTGGGACACCAGGGTTCAAATCCTCAGTCATAAACCTTACAAGGTGACCTTGGGCCAGTCACCATCTCTCAAGTCTAACCTGCCTCACAAGGTTTTGCAAAGATAAAATGTTAAGTGGGAGGACCGTATGTACACCATCCTGAGCTCCTTAGAGGAAAGGCTAGAAATGGAAAGCAAAATAATGCAACAGTTCAGAATTTATTGTGTTTAAGTACTAGCATATAGTGCCACCTAGTGGAAAAAGAATGCCCAAATTGCAAATACATTCAAAATGTCTTGAGAAAAACCTTGTCTTTTATTCTCTACTCCTAAACAAATATTCTTATAACTCTACCCCCTACCCTCCATTTCTGAGAGAGTTAATACCACAAACATAAATATGTTTAAATAGAAAACTGCCAAACTGGACTGTTGATATCCATTTTTACAACAAGACGCTTGTCATGTCCACTTCAAGCTATTGTTGGTATCCATCTGTCTCTAGAGACAGTGCGCCTCCAGGGGTGAAGTCAAATGGCAGCGTTAGCAGCTCCGAAGTGATCTTTCCAGGGCACAAACCTGGGCAGTGTGTATAGAAGTCCTGGGCTGTCCACACTACAAGGCCCCCACACCCCAGCCTTGCTGATGCGGCCCAAAAGAAAACAGAGCAAAACATTTGGCACCAGCTTGGCTGCAGTTCTCAGGAGGCGGCATACAAGGCAGAATCCAAACGTTTTAGGGACTTCACTCTGGATTTGTGTAGGGTTTACTCCTTAGCCTTTTCTTCTCCCAAAGATGTCCCACAAGGCAGTGAAGGTTTAAGATCAGTGTTTTCCTTCTCCTAGATGGGCCTCCTTCTTAGGTTGATGAGCCCCATCTGCCCCTCACTTCCCTCTACAGCACACACAGAAACTGCCTTCTTGACCGCTGGACCCACTATTGGTCTCATCTGCTCAATCCACCAGAGCCTGTCTTTGCTTGCAGGGGAAGTCTCTACCTCACCAAGAGTTTGAGACCCATTGGCTACCCTCACCTAGTTTAGCCGGCCTGTCAAAGCCGTTTCTCAGGGGGCATTACTGTCACACATGGAGACTTGAGCACAGGGTAGGGGCCAAAGGTGGGCAAATCATCCCAGAAGGCGCATGTTGTGTCACCCACCAGAGATACTACCACTCTCCTAACACCCAATACACACCTACTTCAAGCACTTCCAATTAAAATGTGTACAGTGGTACCTCGGGTTAAGTACTTAATTCATTCTGGAGGTCCGTACTTAACCTGAAACTGTTCTTAACCTGAAGACCACTTTAGCTAATGGGGCCTCCTGCAGCTGCCGCCGCGCCACTGGAGCACAATTTCTGTTCTCATCCTGAAGCAAAGTTCTTAACCCGAGGTACTATTTCTGGGTTAGCAGAGTCTGTAACCTGAAGCGTATGTAACCCGAGGTACCACTGTATTAGTAATTCAGTTTAATCTAAAAAAACCCAAAACACTTACAATGTTGTTTTCCATGCACACACCTGACAAATTCAAAAAGGAGAGCATTTCCAAATAGACTTTAGTGAATAAATGGATACAAAATAATCTCAGGATATTTTTACTTTTAGTCTGTAATAGTCCTACCTTTTTACTTGCAATATACTTCCACCTAAATGATCCCGCAAATTATGTTTGTAAATGACTAAATTTGTAAATTTGGGGATCCCCCCCATCAGGCTCTATATAGATCAGTTAACAAAAAGGCATGGTACATATCCATTGACTGATCATCTAATCCAGGGAACCTGTGGATCATTTTCTGGATGATGTTAACCGAGAACTCCCATCATTCCTGACCACTGACCAAGCTGGATGAGGTTGATGAGAGCTGAAACCCAACATCTGGAAGAATACATGTTCCTTTGCTCTGGGCTCTGAAGTAAATTTAAATGTTATGCTATGTTTACCAGGATGAAATACCACACCCCCACCTCAGATTAAAATGTAAACTACCAACCTACAAAGACAGGCCAGCTATCCTACTTCAGTATCATAACCATTTCTAAATATGAAAGAACTTGGCTTACTTACCATTGCTAGCTTCTCGTGCTCATGAATTCTGTTCCTTTCACCATTTCGCTTGGAAACATACTTATCAAAATGAAAACCATTTGAACCCCTTCTGAGGGCTTCTGTATTTGGTTTCCTTATTTCATTTATCTCAAGCAGGAGCAAGAAAGTTTTGTTCTCTGAATGCAACTGTGCAAGCCTGCTTCATTGCCACTAGTTTACATTTCATTTAAACCCAACTCACCTGTGCTTCTATAATATGTAGTAGGACAGCACAGGCAGCCTCATTTCCCACTGGTATTTAAAGGCACTTCCACTCAGGGGCATCTTCTTTCACCCCCTACATATGAAGCTTGTATCAATTTGCTACAATTGGACATTTGACCAGTTTTTTAAAAAGCTAATTAATCCATCAAGTATTTTAAAAATCTAATTAGGTTTTAGCTTTTCATAACTTTCCAAAATGCTCTGTCTCATTTGCAGCAGCATCTCTTGTATTTTACTCCACATAGTACTTTCAGTATTTTCAAACACTACTAACTCCTCACTGGAGCTTGGATAGATCAACAAAAGGTGTACTCGCTGGTTCCTGCAGCAAGAGGGAGCCACTGACTGATAGGTATTGACCTTTGCCCAGGGATGACTACTTGTCTTCCTCTTTTGTTGGAGATTATTGTAATTACAGCAGGTGGGCAGCAGCAGATGTATTCCTGTGCTTCTAGGTTTGCCCTCTGACTTCTGCACGGTTGGAGAAAAGAATCCCTCACTTTTTATTCTTGCTACAAGTCATATACCAAGCTGTCACCTACACAATGACAACCAAATAATATCGTTTGACTGGGCAATTGGCTGATTTGTCAACCCTATCTGGATTGTGACAATACACATTCCCTGACATATTTTTTTTTTAAACATCATTGAGTGCTAGTTACCATCTCTCAGACTATCCTACCGCACAGGACTGTTGTGAGAATAAGAAGAATCCTATGTACACTGATCTTGGTGAAGAACAGGCTATACGTGTAGTAAGTACATTTATTATTACTTTTCCTTGGATTGCAGTTACTATACAGGATGTTAAACATCATGTTACAAGGCTCATTACATAAATCCAAATGCTGTAACAGACCTTAAATATAGTATTAAAAGAGTCAATGCTGAGACACATGCTACTTTAAAGTTGATAATGAAAATGTGAATAATATCGCTAGCTGCAATTTCTGGTCTCCTTAGCAGACCAGGAAGTAGAATTATCTAGCAATTTTTGGCAAAGGTAAAGCATGGCTTTTTATCCACACCCCCCAATATTCAAGCACCGAGAGCACAATCTGCCTACCATAAACAATCACATTCATAAGGACAATTGGTGAAATCCAACAGTGGACAAGTGAAGTTTTGCTTGCACAACTGGACTTTCCTTTCCTCCCCCTGCAGCTGACCCCACCAAATCTGCTCCAGAGGATCAGATTCCTGTGAGCTGATTCTGTAGGCATGAAGAAAAAGGGGAAGTCCCATTACATGAGTGGAAGTGTGAATGCTCACACGTGAACACCACTAGATTTCACCCAATTAATACAATGCTTTTACTTTTCAACTGTCTTTAATATCTCCCCTCCCGAATGAAATAAAGTAGATTTTACAAATCAGCTTAATAAAAATGGGGAAACAATGCACTCATTAATTAAAATGGCTGGTAAATATATTCTGAAAAATAAAATGACAGGCAGGCAATCAAACTAGATCTCATTTCAAATACTGTAGTATTTTAAAAGGTTAATAAAATTTTAAACCTGCCTAAACACAACAATTTAAGGAAACATTGAACCTAAAAAAGGACCTTTCACAAACACTGACTTCAATCCTAAAAACACTCGGTATTAAAATGGTCCAACAATGTTTAACCATGTTACAGTCTTCAAAATATCAATAGTTGCCTCAATTCAAAAAAGTGCAATCACTTGTAGAAAATGAAAAAATTTAATGTGTACATTAATGCATCCGTGATCAGTAATACCACAACTGTTCAACAAGAGAGCCACAACATCGATACAAAAAAATTATGGTAATATTTACAAAATAAATTGAAAAAATAATTTATTATTTACATCTTCTCACATTATGTTGTTAAGTGACACAGTCTTATCGTCTCTTTGGAGGAAGATAGATAAAATGAGTTTATCTATTTTTTAAAGGGTCAAAAAAATGATGCTCCAGGGCTTCATCTAGAGTAATTCTCTTGACAGGGTCATACTCCAACATCCTACGAATAAGGTCAAAAAGATTTTTATGGTCTTTATCATGGGAGTGCATGAATTCCTGGAAAAAGAGAAAGAAACTTTAGATACATCTCTTTGGATTCCAGAATCAATTAGAGGGAAGAAAATAATGCTCTCTTACCTTTAGTGGTTTACACCGCCTCCTAACATAGCGACCTGCAGAACTATGTTCATCCCAGTCCAACTGGTCATGGTGGAAGTAGCGTTTCCTGTATACAAAAAAGCTACATGAAATATGCCCTTTCTTTTTCAGTTGTTGAAGTGCAGCCTTCTTCCCCTTGTCCTTGAGATATTTTTAATTTCCAGCTGATTCTCCTTGATTCCTTTCTCTCACCATTTCTGTGAGCTCTGGGCCACTTCCTTTACACATCCCGACAGGTATAATCTTCATCAGATCTTTCCCCAACAATAGTTTCTAAGGTTCCAAAAGTTCTTCCTCTGAACAATCTGACCACTGTCAGCTTTGTGGCCATTGCTACCTAATCCTATGCACGTGTCCTTGGAAGCAGGTCCCACTGAGATCAGTGGATGTATTCCATTGTGTACATAGGATATCAGTCTTAAATCTAGCAGCTTAAATGCAAGCTTCAAAGAATGGGTGTCCATCCTTGGAGGTCTCTTACCTAAACTCCCCTGTGCTCTTTCATCTCTTAAGCATGTTTCCTCACTTCTCCTATAACACTTGTCTTATTTACTCATGGATTGCTGTGCTTAGTCTTACTCTGATGTTTCTCCTCAGGAAGCCAAGAGGAAGCTCTACAAATCCTACAGCAGCATCTCAATATAGAGTAGTTTGCGGTGGGGGGGGGGAGGAGAGGAGAGGAGGAGGGAAAAGGAGAGCTTCCCTACCACTTTGGTCTCTACAAGTCAAACAATGAAATTAAACAGCTGCTGCTAAAATCAACTGCGAATTTCAAATACAGGGGAGAAAGAGAGGGAGAGCCCAGAGTACATATTCAGATCCATTATATATGTTGTAGCTCAACAGGACTGAAGTGATAAATTTCAATTGGACAGACCAACTCCCTTTGTTTCATAATAACTACTGGTGTCTCCTGTTGTTCTTAGCATTTTCATGTAATAACAATCACAAAATCATGTAAGAATTCCAACAGTCAATGAAATGGAAATTTTTGTTCAATTTAATTTCTTAACTGCAGAATGTGTAAGTGGCATATACAATTATAACTTCATGCTTAAGTAGTTTATAAAAACAGGAAACAAAGCATATTTTTAACCACTTGTATAGAACATTTATACAATTTAAAATAAATTTACCTTGATTTTTTAATCATGTGTGTGGGTAAAGGTCCTAGTATCCTCTCCATCATTGCCAGATGTTCCTTACTATCATGTGTCTGGAAAGGGGAGGGGCAGGAATTGAATGTATGCAATATTTATTCTTTGTCACATTACCAACTGCTGAAGTTAGAATCAAAATATACTTTGCCCATAAAAAACAGTTATACAGTAGTATAGAGGCGTCGTTTCCCCCCTCTAACTCAGTGTTGTTAATCTTCTAAGTATAACATTCCCACCCACCGCTCAGATTTCAGCTTTATGGAACACCAGAAGGAAACAAACCAAGGGATACAGAATAAAGAAAACAGAAAAAAGAACTGGTATAATCAAGATCATACAGAGAATTGAAATTTGTAATTAAGTCTCAAATGACGTCAAAAAAAATTAAACTTCCCAAATAACTGAAATTAGCTGAAACTGTCTTTTTTGCAGGCTGTTGTTAGAAGCAGATGTAATAAATATCCAACAAGTGGCATAAAAAGGCTGTGGTTTTTCCTTGTCTCTTATGTGTCAGTTTTTCTGCTGTCACCACCAACCAGACATTTCTAATACACACAGTAAGTCCCAAGTTTTCAGAAACTTCTACTGCTGAGCAACTGTTTGTCTAGCAATGACCAGCAGAAATAACAGCAGGTCCTTGAATAGCATATCCTTGTTCTGGCCCATCAAAATTGATAACAGAAAGAACTCTGGCATAAGCACAATAGAAGCCCCAGTGATATGCAGCAGTTTCAGATCTACATTATACCAAAAAGCGTGCAGTCCCTCCAAAGATGTTATCGACAAGTATACCATAAATATATTGAATTGTATCCAACAGTGACACTCAGTTAATGGTACAGATTCCTTCAACAGAACAGAAAGGGGTGCAATTTTTGGCGATTGCACCCTTCTGACTTCACAGCCCAGCCTAAATCTGCTCCAGAGGGTTTGGGGACTGTCAGGGGGGTCAGGGGACTGTTAAGGGAGACCCTGGAGTAAGAGTGGAAAACTTCCTTCCCTGATCTGCAGGTGGAGGCCTTACCGTCAGCTGAGTGGCTCTGATGGATGCAGTTCAAACTCTTTCCACACATTTTACAAAGTAACTTTATTCTCCAAACAATCTCAGCCAAAGGCTTTAAATGTTGGTGTGTTATGAAACCTTTGCAGGACTAGCGTACATTTAACATTTTGAGCATTTCAACTCTACATACTTGTAGAAATGCCAAAAATCAAATGAAAGCATTAACATATATTTTAAACCAGGTTTTGAACTGCAACTCAGGTGAAAGGTTCTAAATAAAAATGACATACACATACCTGAAAGACTGTAAAACCAAGGTAATATTCAATCAGAATGCACCCTATGCTCCAGACATCACAGGGTTGGGACCACCCAAGTGCTATAACACAATTCACAAAACATTAGTTAATTGAAAATTCAATTCAGACTAGAAATCCATCTCCTGAACAATCTTGAGGTTATTTCATAAACCATCCACCATTCTTAGATTTACTATTTTCCTCCACTTTTATGAAACATAACTAAGCAGTAATATTATACATGACTATTAAAAGTAATTTTTCAAATGTTTGAATTAGATAAATATTATTTAAATATGTTTCCTTGAATTGTTACATTTCCAGGAAAATTCTCTACTAACCTAATATAACTTCAGGTGCTCTGTAGTGCCTTGTAGACACTAAAGTGCTATGATGTTCATTGTCATATGTTGCACTTCCAAAGTCTACAATTTTAATATCTGTATTTTTCAGTGTCCGTTCATCCCGCCTCTGTAACAAAGTAAAAATGAACACCATTATTTTTTTAAAAGAAGTTGAATCTCATTGTTAACCTGCTCTCATCACAAAGACTTAACAAACCATGCTTTCTGCAGATTAACTCCGTCCTGTGTCTACTGTTCATGCACATGGAATTGGCAAAATGTAATACCCTTGGCTTGCCTTCTTCCTATTTGGGGGTGGGGGAAGCCTCTATACTTACCTAAGGCAAATGTAGTTTAACCAGCCATGCTTTTCATATTAAGAGCAATGATACAACAGCTAACCTAGGTGAACTAATTTTTTTATAGGAAATCCAAATTCACAGTTTCACAGTTCCTTAGCTATACTATATCCATAAGCCTTGTGAGAAATCACATCAACATAACGATTAGTAGTACAAGTACTGGTTTGCTTTGTCATCAGCACATCTGCTGCATCTTCACATAAATGTGAAAAAAATGACGGATCTTCTGTTCAAGGCCTTTACTATCATTTATCAATAGATTTTGGTCTTAGCAGCCACGAAGTACTTAAGTAGAATACCTGAATATGCACTTGAATGCATCTTGTGTTACAGTAAAGGCTGCTTGATGCGAGCAAAACTTAGAAATTGTATATGGCATGGTTGACTATAAAAAAGTAGAAATAGCCCACTGGGAAGAAGTCTTAAAGCAAGTGAACTTACCATTTTAGAATTATACTTTACTATATAATCAGATTCTACAAATAAAATATTTTCAGGTTTCAGATCTGTATGAGTCAACTTATTGTGATGCAAGACTGCCAAAAAAAAAAAAGAGAGAAAGAAAGTAGGAACGCAATACTCAAATCAATGCCTATAATTTTAGGTTATGGAGAAATTCTTTAAAATTTAAATATACTTACAGTTTATAGAATGACAAATCTGATAAGCCATCTTCCTAATAAGTTCAATAGGAAAAGGCAAAAAGCTATTTTCTTTAATAAAGTCGTAAGTACTGAGTCCCAGCAGCTCAAATACAATGCAAACATGGCCATGATGTTCAAACGATTCCAGCATCTGTACACAACAGCTAGAAAAAAAAAGAAAGCAACCAGAACAATAACTGAATAAAAACAATTGGTAATTGAATACTGTTTAAAATAATGCTTTCATTCTAGTTTATACTTACAATCTGCTGCCAGGATCCAAGGCATTTAAGTGCTCCAATACCTGAATTTCTGAACGAGCTGCTTCTCGGTATCTACCAACACTTTTCACAATTTTTATAGCTACATGCATCCCTTTCCTATGGAATAAAGTAAAATACTGTCAATTAAATTTGCCCATTCTCAACCATGTGTCAAGCATTCTACTGTAGACTGGATGCATCAGTAAATCATGGTTATTTTACACCTATTATAACACTTTCAAGGTTGAGACAAACAAGCTAACAACTTTGTGCTATCATCCGTTTTATTTGTTGTACATGTTCACAGAAGGACATAGCAACTGCAGTGAGCATCTAATTATTAATGTTAAGAATGAAATAACTTCTACTGTTAGCCCAAGTATGATTGAAAGTTGCATTACACAAATTAAAGCCAGGTGCACCCAGGTGCCCAGAAGGAGAGTTTAAAAACAGCTGGTGGTGGGGAGAACTGCTTCTTACTGGGGATGGTGTGTTTGTTGAAATGCACCTCTTATTTATTTCAAAATACTGCATTACAGAAATATTATTGTCTAATTTTCTGTTCTTAAGTATCACAAAACTTCATGTACGTTGGATAGCATGTACATTGGATTTCTACCTTCAGATGGAAAACATTGTTTCAGAGATACTTTTGAAAATATTGCATACTTACATGTGATGATCAATGCATTCTACAACTTTTCCAAAAGCACCTTCCCCTAATGTTGAAATAATTTCATCTAAAAAATAAACCAAAGCTTTTATTGAAGTAGCTGAACAAAGATTAACATTGTTAAGCATGTCGTTGTAAAAACATTAACTTAGTGTTTGCCTTTGAAAGCATTATTTTATTGGATAGGTGTCATGAAACAGCTATCTAGCTATCAGTCTAAACTTAAGCTGTATTTACTATTGTAGCATTGAATAGCAATATTTAAGAATACAGAAATGAAAAGAAATGTAAAATAATACAAAGACATAAGAAAAGACAAGAGAGGGCAATGAAGATTTTTTTTATCCCCCCCCAGCCCTACTCCTCTTCTAACATACTAGTCTAAACAGATTTTTTGCTGATTTTTTTAAAAAAAGGGTTGAAAAATATTCTATACATCTTGCTCTTAGTACGTCTCCACTTTGACAGATCAGGTGACCCTCCTCATCCTCTACACTCCTGGATCTTTTCCTTCGGTGACTCTTCTGGAAACGGCACCAAGATCGTCCAGCCAATCAATATATCAGAGTGAATTCAGGGTAGAATACGCAATTCATTCAGCGGGGATATTCAGGCATTCAGTTACGCACCAGGCCACGAACAGTTGGCAGGAGCAATTTCAAATTCAGTCCCCAGAAATTCACAGGGCACAGTTTATGTTACAGAAGAAAAACATGGCAAGGAACAGATTTTCAGATAAATATTTAAGAGTAGTAAGACAACAGAAACACAACACAATTTTGTTCTCAAATTATGGATTAATTGAAGACTAAAATTTAAATTTGCAATGTAAATATTTACTTTTGCTATTTGAAAAGATTTTGTCATTTGTGTCTACTTTTTTGAAATCATAACTAGGTCTGATCTCCTTGAATATCTAGCAAAGTATTTTAAAATAATTATTATTATTAAAAAAGCAGAATTTCAAAGCAATTAATTTTTTTCTTCCATATTTCAAAAAGCTAAAGGGAAAATATTCATAATTCATGAAATGCAGTCTACCATCTAATATTCTGAGTGTATTGATCCAGAAGTACAAATACTATTGAAACCATAATAATCCTAAATTTGAATGCAGACATCAGCAGTGTCATACAGTTTCTGGAAAATCCAAACTCCTTTCCTTGCTAATTGGTAGAGGGAATGCTTTCTGACAGATCAGTGAATGATCAAAATTTGCATGGGACTGAACTAAACTACTGAATAGAAACATGCTGAATTCATTAGACTTTTTTCACAGCCTAATTCCATGTAAATTAATACCTTCTGTGTCTTTGGAGATGGGATGGAAAGAGTGGCTTCAAAAGGATATAAAACTCATTCAAATGAGAACAGCACTTGACTGCTTCTCTCTACCAGCTCAACTAAGAAATCATTCAAGTTTTTGAAAGCTTCAGACAAAAACTCATGTGGTTGGCACCACTCACTATGTAAACATTTTCAAATGTCTGAATACATGCTATGTATATATTTACAGCAGATTAAGAGAACCCAGGTTTAATTGTAGCTCAGGTAACTGAAACTTTTTAAACATTGATACTCAGAGAATCTGATACTCCGTGAAGAAACTTAAAACACTAATACATTGTTAATACATTTTTAAAGTATGCATACCGAATACAAGCTGTCATGGGGGTCATGTTTCTTATGCTTTCTTTTATGACTACTTTTCCCACTTTGACCAGAGGATTTGCTAAAATGATGTTGGCGACTCTTTTCATACTCTCTGCAATGCTTATAGTCATCTACATCACGGAAGTCATTTATATACTCCTCAACATATCTTCGGTCATGACGGTCTCTCCTAGTTATGGATCTATCTTCCAAGTAGCTGCTGAAAACAAATAAATATTATTTTTTCAACTTTTTTTAAAAAAAAACCTTGTTGAAAGATAAATCTACCCACCATCAAAAGGTAAATAAGTTAAAAGTATACTAAGACTCTTATTACCTTGAGCTCACAAGAATTACACCCTTCCTGCTAGATATGCAAGGAAGTCTAGTAAACTATCCCATGTACATTGCAACAATATGAAAACCTGCGTCTAAATAACTTGTGCAAGTATGGAGTGCTCCCAAAAGGAAAATCACTAATTCAATGCATCACTTGGATTCACAAGAAAGCCATAAACTTGCCTCTTCTTCAAAGGCAATGACTGCTTTCTTGGGACAGCTTTCTTATTCATCAGCCTTGCTCTATCTCACTTGCTGATAACACTAAATCTCATGAAGTTACATTCAAAACTAACAACAGTCAAGAGCTAGGTGAATAGTGAAGGCCTAGAGCAGGGGTCTGCAACCCGCGGCTCCGGAGCTGCATGTGGCTCTTTTACACCTTTGCCGCGGCTCCGGGGCGGATACTAGCGAGGGGAGGAGGTGCATTGTGCGCCCCGACACTCCCCACTGTGGCGGGTGCTGTACTGGCTGTGACGTCGCATGGGGGCGGTGCGTGCGTTAGTCACGCACCGTCCCGACGTCACCTTCCCGCCCGCTGTCAGATCGGAGGGCAGCGGCGCGCATGCTTTAAATGTCGCAATGGTTTTGCGGCTCCCAGGTTTTTTTCCCCTTCGGAAACGGGTCCAAGTGGCTCTTTTTGTCTTGAAGGTTGCAGACCCCTGGCCTAGAGCAAAATAACTACCAATTCAAAGGGCCTGATTTCAGAAACCCATACAAAACACCCATACAAAGCAGTACAGAAAACAAGTCAGAGTCAAATTGGACTTTTATTTATATCAGTAAATATAAAGGTCCCACTATTGGAACACTTTCTCCAAAATCTCAACTTATCGAAACACAAAGTATTATATCAAAACCTCACTACACAAATAGCTGAATCAGATAACCAAACGAGAGTCTGCCCGCTTCCTTATTTGTGTTTTGCTGGTGGGCAGAAATCACTAGGGGAGGGAGACAGATCAGACAAATCAGTGAGCAAGAGAGATGGCTGCAGCAATTTCAGGCAGAAAGCATGGAGGGAGAAAGCATGGATTAGAAATGAATCACATTTCATCTATATGTATATACTGATGTATTAATACGGTACTGTCTACATATACACATAACTACACATGTGTGTGTACACACACAGATATATCTGAAAGCAATCTGGACCACAACTGCCTTCTTAAATAGTGCTTTAAAAGCTTTTGCTCATTTCCATACTCTCAAGATGAAAGAAATAATGAATAACATCACAGCAACTATTATTCATTTTTAAGTGAACTACCAGTGAAAAACTCTGATTGTAACAGCAATATGAAAACTTAAAAATGACAAATGTAAATCAATAAAAGATTTAAGTTACATCTAGTTAGATGATCATTAGATGATCATTAAGTCAAGAGTCATTTACCTGTTGGCACTTTTAAGTGATTTATAGCATCTGCCTTCTCTTTCACTGCTATGTGACTTCCGCCTGCGTTTTTGGCTATGTGTGCTCTTTTCTTCATCCCAGCTCCTTCTTTCACCCTGCCCAGAGCACTGCGTTGGCTTTGAGTGCTTCATCTAACACAGGAAAATATACCAAAGCAAAAAGGTTACATTTCAATGAGAAAATAAAGATGAGAGATTAACAACCCCCTCCTGCACGTGTTTATTTAGATATTAAACAGGGCTAACGCCTAGATAGCACACACCTGTGCACACTTACTTGGGAGTAAGTCCCACAGAACACAGTGGAACGGGCTTCTGAGTGAACATACAAAGATTGGGTTGTGAAATAACTTTAGTCTGTGAAAGGCATTTACAACTGAAAATGTGAAGAAATAAAACAAGTGTGGGGTGAGAATATATCATCAATACAGACTATTTTCAGCTGCCCCATCTTGTTGCTCTGGTATCCCTGCCCTTGTTTCACTTGGACCTAGGTTACATTATCTATCTCATAAGGCAAGACCAACGAGTATACAGTCATACCTCTTGTTACGTCCGCTTCATGGTACATTCTTGCAAGATACGTCCCACGGCGACCCAGAAGTACCGGAAAGGGTTACTTCCAGGTTTCGCCGCTCGCACATGCGCAGACGCGCAAAATGACGTCAAGTGCATGCGCATAAGCGGCGAATCGCGACCCACGCACGCGCAGACGTGCGTTGCGTTCTGCTCATGTTGGAAACGGGGCTCCGGAACGGATCCCGTTCGCAACCAGAGGTGCCACTGTACAAAACAATCAAGATTAGTGTATTTCAAACTTTGCAATCACAAGGACTAGAAATATATACTTAGAGGATAGAACCAAGAGTATTTAAGAAATGGAACTGCATATCATACCCCATTATGTTTTATGAATAGAAATGCTTATAGATGAAAACCTATTTTCTTCAGCCATTGTTAAATCTGATTGATATACTATATATATGTCAAATTGGTTGTGAAACTACCCTCCCACACTAATTTGTTCTTAAGAATCAAGCTACCATATTTTTCGCTCCATATTTTTTGCACCTAGTTTTTAGAGGAGGAAAACAAGAAAAAAATATTCTGAATCAAATGTTGTACTAAACTATTTATTAAACAACCGGTATATCAGAATCATATTACAACCATGTAAAGTGAACAGCAGTCAACATTGCATTAAGAACCATCATCACATTCATTAACAAAGGAAGAGAGACTTTAAGGTTCGGATACTCTTCTAGTCTTATTTGAACCCTAAGAACTCATCAGTGCGAGTCAGAATTTATGAAGCTCAGTTGCTCACAATCACTGACATCACTTTCTTCACTATCTTCATATAAAATACCATCTTCGTTTCCATCCAAAGCATTGCTAATGCCACATTTTTTGAATGACTGTACAACGATTTCCTCCTTTACTGAGTGCCATGATGTTTTCACCCATTCACAAACTTGAGTGATAGTGGGCCCCTTCATTCGTCCAGTAGGTGTCAGATCATGATTACCAGCAGCCATCCATTTGTTCCCTTCTTTTCGCATAAAGACCTTAAATGGCTTGTTGATGGAAACGTCGAGAGGTTGCAATTGGCTGGTAAGACCTCCAGGAATTACAGCTAGATGAGTCTTCACTTCTTTAAAGCACTTTTTTGTAATTTCGCTAATATGTGCTCTAAACTGGTCAAGTACTAATAAGGCAGGTTTTTTCAAAAGCCCTCCAGGACGTTTGGACCACACTTTTTCAACCCATACTCTCATTCCATTTTCGTCCATCCATCCTTTCTCATGAACATGTACAACAATTCCTCGTGGAATCACTTCTTCTGGAAATGTTTTCCTTTTGAAAATTAACATGGGTGGCAATTTGGTGCCGTCTGCACAGCAAGACAACACAACCGTGCAATAGGTTTTCTCACGTCCTGAGGTTTTCACGGCGATAGTTTTGGTATCTTTCAGATCAACAGTCCTATTAGATGGCACATCAATGATTAGCGGGACTTCATCCATATTCCAAATCTGGCCAATTTCAAATCCATTTCTCTTCCTAGCATCTATTACAAATTTATGAAAAGACAGAATCTTAGATTCATATTCTTCTGGCATTTTTTGTGCAATTCTAGTTTTGGTGCACATATCAAGGCCACATTGCTTCATAAATCTGTAGCACCATGATGGTGATCCAGTAAAATCGTGAATGCCTTTCTCTACAGCAATGCGTTTGGCTTCATATATTATCATTTTTGTAGAGACTGCGAAGCCATTCTTCCGGTGATTTTTGATCCATTCTTTCATGGCCACGTCCAACTGTGGCCTCTTTGCAGCATTTCCACGAAAAGTGTGCTTACTTTTATCTGCTTTTTGCAGCTGATCCTCCTGTTTCCTCCACTCTCTTATCATTTTTTCAGTTGGAGGTGACCCAAAATGTCTCTCCGCTGCTCTGTTTCCATGCTCCTTAGCATATTTTACTACCTCTAGTTTAAAAGGAATCTTATATGCTAGTCTTTTCTGCTTTATCATCCTTATCAGAATGGGGGAGGTTTTCTGCAAGAAAATACAGTGATGTACAAACTGTCAGTAATGTACGGTTTCTCCAATGTTTACCACTGAGTGCTGACCATACCTTTAACTAATGGCATCACAGTAAACATAGCCAACATACAGTCTGTATAAAAAAGAATTACCGTATCACCCTAAAGGTTTATTGATATTATAGCATATGCTATCACTTTCTTGAATTGTCCTAGGCATAGCAGCCAACTCCTAGAGGCCTAGGTGCCTTTGCCGCCCCCCATTAAATATTTGAGGGAGTCCCCGCCCCCATGTTGATGGGCATTGTTATTCATATAGTGTGCATGCACTTTGTCTTGAGACTGCAGCAGTTCTCAACCTGTGGGTCCCCAGATGTTGTTGAACTACAAGGCTGAATTGCGGTATGTGAGGTGGGGCTTACCTGCCCCCCCAATATTTTATTGAAGTTGGAAGAGGGAGGGAAGGGAGAGCTCACATTTGTGCACGCCTGTGGTGGGCAGCTGCCTTGCCTTGCTGGAACCGGAGCAAAAAGAGGAGGAGGAGACACCAGGGCAGAAGCCCTGTAAGCCGCTCTCCCTTTGCTTGAATTACTGGTACAGTCAGATGGGGGGAGGGGTGGAAGGGGCTGCCCTCTGCCCCTCCTTCCGGCTCATTGTAAAGCAAGCAGAGTAAGAGCTGCTTACACGCGTGTAAACGGCTCTCCCTTTGCTTGAATTACAGTCATCCTTTCAGTCCCTTCTCCCACCTCACCAAAAAGCCAGCAAGAGCGGCAGACACGCTCGGTGCGCCTCTTGCTGGCTTTCCAATGAGCCGCGAAGGAGGGACGGTCCCTTCTCCACCCTCACTGAAAAGTCAGCAAGAGCCGCTTCCTCACCCGTCTGCATTCCGCTCGCATTAAGACCGCGACACACATTTCCCTAGTTTTTAGGAGGAAAAGTGTTGTCTTATTGGAGTGAACATTACGGTATGATGCTTTAAGGTTTCATGTGCATTAGTCATTTGAAGGAGGTTAGTCTTGCTGTAACTTATCATCTGTAGCCTTATCTATTACTCATTTCCAGCTGTTGGGACTGAAAGCACCATATTTATATTAGGCAAATCAGCTTAGCCCTTATGCCTCAAACTCTGGCCTTTCTATGCCAGCCTATGGGTATCAATATTAAAGGTAAAGGTACCCCTGCCCGTACGGGCGAGTCTTGACAGACTCTAGGGTTGTGCGCCCATCTCACTCAAGAGGCCAGGGGCCAGTGCTGTCCGGAGACACTTCCAGGTCACGTGGCCAGCGTGACATCGCTGCTCTGGCGAGCCAGAGCTGCACACGGAACACCGTTTACCTTCCCCGCTAGTAAGCGGTCCCTATTTATCTACTTGCACCCGGGGGTGCTTTCGAACTGCTAGGTTGGCAGGCGCTGGGACCGAGCAACGGGAGCGCACCCCGCCGCGGGGATTCGAACCGCCGACCTTTCGATCGGCAAGCCCTAGGCGCTGAGGCTTTTACCCACAGCGCCACCCGCGTCCTATCAAAATATTACCGGAGTATAATATTCCATCCAATATAGCTCCCCAACCTGTTCTAAAAAGTGGGATATACTAAAAAAAAAGGGGGGCATACTTTAAAGACAAAACAAAACAATCCCTGTTCACGTGGTCGACTTCACTTCCCTACCCTCTGCTGTTTGCCTGAGTAACCAAATTTCCATTCCCACCAGGATGAAAAATTTTGACTGACACTTTTATTTGAGCTCCTGTATTTTGGTTAATTGGACTCATTTCAGCTTACATTGAGTTGGGGAGGGAAGAGCTGTTGGGGTTACTCAAAATGGCACAAGAAGCGTGTGAAGCAGATAGTGATGCAATAAGCCCATCAAGCCTGGAATATCTGCGGTGCCAAGAAAGCTACAAATTCTCCAACTTCTTGGAGGACTGTTTCAAAATTGGTCGGTGAATTTCTAAAATGAAAAGAGGGCCGTTCTCAAGCCTGGAGCCAACACTGGATCTGAAAGGTATCTCCACTAATCCCAAATGGATTGAGACATAACCTATGCAGCTATCAACTAAGAATGCTCTGGGACTCAATTTCCTGCATGAAGCAGGAGGCTGGACTAGATGGCCTGCAAAATGACACCACCCCCAAGCCTACACCTCTGCGCCCACAATCACTTGGTGGTGATGAAAGGTATTCTCCCATAGTCAGAAAGTTATTCGTTTGCACTTCCAGGATGTCTTAAAATAAGTTCTAACGGGAAGCTCCACATGTTTAAACACTCGGATTGAACTGTCACATCCGTCGACGTTTATGAAACAAAGCATGCTTTCTATTCCAAAACTATTTGGGTGTTTTATTCTGTGTGCACCCTGAACCCAATGCTTCCATCAAGGGTGTCTCTGTAAAATATGCAGTAGCTATAAGAAGTGTTGCTTCTTCGTGGTAGGGCTTAATTCTAAAACTAGAAATGCTGGGCTTTGCCACTCTCTGGAAGCCACGCCCAAAAATTTAAACTGGATGTAAATTTCCAAAATATAAGATAAAAAACAAATAAAATAAAACCTACATACAGCAAGTGTTTTGTGTTGTGTAGGCTCCTATGATGTAAGTAATGGGCCCCGCCTTCTAGCCTGCTCCCTAAAATAGCACATATTTTGTTATGTGCAAATGGCTTTAGATACCTACTAGGTCCATAAATTACCATAGAGCATATATTCAATACAAAAAATAGCGACAATTTGTTGTTGACAAAGGATAACTGGACATATAAAGGGCCCCATTATCTTCAGTAGCTTAGGGCCTCATTAAACCTAAATCCGGCCCTGCCCACCCACCTACTACCCCCCCCCAAGGCTGCACAAGTCTAGGGGGTGAGGGGAAGGTTTACATTTTAGGAAGTGCTGGAGGCCTCCGTCTCCGAAGCTCAAATCCGCCCCTCCAAGCGAGGTCTTAAAAAAACAACAACACGCTTTTAACGCGTAAAAAAATATTCGCCACCTTGCATCCTCTTACTCTCTATATCCCAACGACTGTGGGGGGGGGATGTGTGAGAGGAATTGAAGCCCCACAGAGCAAAACAAGGACCTGATTTCCCGCCCCTACAAAGGGCCTAACGAGAAAGAGAGAGAGAGAGAAACGGGCCGCTTCCCGTCCCTCCGCCACTTACGCTCAATGGCGAGCTGCGAAGGATAAACGTGTCTTCTTCCGTCCGCAAACAAACAAAATGGCGGCTTCCCTCCTCTCCCTCTCCTTCTCCCTCGCCCTAGCCACGCCCGTAATTGCGGGGTTGCGTCACACGTCCTGATGCGTAGACTTATGAAATATAGAGGCGCGCGCACGCACACAAACACACAAGCAAACAATGCCCGACTACTGCGTGGGCTGTGAACGACGCTTTTTGTTTCTGGTTTGTAGCAGCAGGTGCGGCAGAAAGCAGCTCCAGAAATACAGAGCGCTTATCCTGTGCGCGGGTCTTGCTTGTGGGCTTGTTTGATGTTTTGCTATTTTTATATGTACAGTATATATGCTGTAAGCCCTCCAGAATGGCTAGGGGAAAGCAGCCAGATGGGCGGGGTATAAATGTTGTTGTTGTTATCGAAGGCATCTAGTTGTTGGCCACTGGTTGGGATTTTATATAAGCCTTTGACCTCAGGGCTCTTACGTTCCCAACTTTTGAAAGTGGGGGGGGGCTCTGTTTCTGATGCTACCTTTTGGGGTTTTGCTGTTGTTTGAAGTGGCGGGGAGGGAGACACGCTTCTTCAAGATCTTGCGAGGTTCTCCAGTTAATTCGAAACAGCATTAAAATGCAACCAGGAAACTGTCTCCAGACAATGGGATTATCTCCTCTAATATTTCCTATCTCTATATAAAGCGGGATGGGCGCGGGGAATGTAGGTTCTGCGTTTGCATTCCAGCTGAGGCCCCGCCCACAGCGGGACTCCCTCTGGGAGGACAGACAGAAGTTGGCTAGAAGAGTGAAGATGGTGGGGATGATAACAGCCTTGCTTACTCGGGAGTAAGCGCCACTGAATCTAGTAGGACCTACGTCGGAGCAAACATGCTTAGGCTTGCTCTGGATGTCAGGATCAGCAAGCTCCTCTTTCCCAACTCATCCGTCTGCTATGCTCGCAGTTGCAGCCCGATTTTACGCACGCTTTCTCGGGTGTAAGCCCTAGTGATCTAATTGGCACTTATCTACCCAGTGAGTGCTGTTCAAGATTGCACGACTGGGGTAAAATAAGTGATTGGAAGTGAACTTTTGAATGTTTGGAGGAATAATCGGTTTGGGAGGTTATTCTGCGTAGAGGATGGGGAAATTGAGTTTTGCATTCACATCTGAAATTAGATTTACCGGTATATCTAGGCTGGAGGTGGTCACGGGTGAAAGTAACACACTGCTAATAATATGGTACATCAATAACAAGCTGTACATAATAATGCATAATATAAAGTATGTGAGCTATTAGAGCAGGCTTATTAGGCATCTACACGTGTTTAGTAATGGTTATATTGATTTTCCCGAGCTAAAGTTGGAACAATCCTTAAGATATTACTAAATAATAATGTGTTGTGCTTTCCCATTACTGTACCTTGCATGCTTGTGCTTGGAAAAAAAATGTCTGTGGAGTTGTGGCTTTTTGTAGGGCTCAGACTCCTGTGGTTCTGGTACAGTTGCACAAAATGAGTTCTTCCTTATAGGAGAGGGCATCTCCAATAATAAAAGGTAGCAGTACTTGTAAATACTTCTTCCCGGGATCTTTCTTTGGGAAGAGTATGGCTAGAAAAGGTAGGAGAAACTTGTGTGAGCACAACTGAGGAGGAGGTGATTTTGCAGGATGGATGGAATTAGTAGCACCCTCCTACTTTCAAAACCCGAGTATTTTGTCACTTTGCTGTAATATACATTCATACCTAATACCAAAGGTTCTTAGCCAATTATATTTGACAAGATACAGGACACTGTCTAGCCAAGGGGTCACCTGCCTAGGGCTCTGGGGTTCGATGCCTTTTTTTGGGATGAACCATAATATGTAGGTTTCCAGCTTTCATTAAAAAAAAGTTTCTAGCATTTTTAGAACCTGAGATGTTAGGCAAAAGGTGCAAACCCCATTATTCTCAGTTTGTGGGAGAAATTAGCCTGCTCTGTGGGTTAAACCACAGAGCCTAGGACTTGCCGATCAGAAGGTCGCGATTCGAATCCCCATGATGGGGTGAGCTCCCGTTGCTCGGTTCCTGCTCCTGCCAACCTAGCAGTTCGAAAGCACCTCAAAGTGCAAGTAGATAAATAGGTACCCGCTCTGGCGGGAAGGTAAACGGTGTTTCCGTGCGCTGCTCTGGTTCGCCAGAAGCGGCTTAGTCATGTTAGCACATGACCCGGAAGCTGTATGCTGCCTCCCTCGACCAATAAAGCGAGATGAACGCCGCAACCCCAGAGTCAGCCACGACTGGACCTAATGGTCAGGCGTCCCTTTACCTTTACCTTTTACCATGTTGGTGTTTTTCCTCCACCCTGACAGATTTATGTACATGTGAGTCAGTGCGAGATGAGAGGAGGGAGACGGTATGTGCCGTCTATGCAAGGGAGATATATGTGAGGTGAGAAGGCGGCATGACTAGTTGATCTCTGTGTAGGAGAGAGATGTATATGTGACGTGTGTGTATGGGGTGTGCATATGAGTGAAAAAGATGCAGCTGCTTGTGTGTCCATGGTCTGTATAAGTGCAGTGAGTGTGGTGTGGTTACCTTGTATTATTTTTCCTCGTACTGGGGAACGCTCCCTTTTACTAGACAGCAGCAGCATTATTGTGTATGTGTTTGTGAGAGAAATCTATACTGTGTGATCTTTGTAGTTGGACATAGCTGACTTCCTGTAGTAAGCATGATGATGTCTGCTGCGTGGCGTGGGCAGGAGTAGCAGCAATGGCTGTATTATCTCTGATTCTGGATTATGTCGTGCTCCTCATGGCAGCCATGTTGTATTTCACAAAATTAAAATACGCCTACTAGTCCAAAAAGGTTGGAGATTCCTGGTCTCACCTAAACCTGTCTGGGTCTCACTGAGTTTAATGGAACAAATTCCCCAGTAGGTAGGCACAAATTTGCAGCTTAAGTGGTACTGAACTGTTACACATTACAGTGGTACCTCAGGTTACATACGCTTCAGGTTACAGACTCCGCTAACCCAGAAGTAGTTCTTCAGGTTAAGAACTTTGCTTCAGGATGAGAACAGAAATTCTGCTCCGGTGGCGCGGCGGAGTGGTGCTTCAGGTTAAGAACAGTTTCAGGTTAAGTACGGACCTAAAGTGGTGCTTCAGGGGAGATTCATAAAGACCAAACTGGTTTTCTTCCAGGGAGACATATGTCAGATAATGTGAGGAACATTATAGACATTTTGGAACTGTTAGAAGTGGACATTAATAGGAAGGCTGTTTTAATTTTTGTGGACGCGGAGAAAGCCTTTGATAATATTTGCTGGAGCTTCATGAAGAAGAATCTCCAAGGGATGGGGGTAGGCCAAGGTTTTGAAAACGGTATAGGTGCAATATATTATAAACAAAAAGCAAAGTTAATTGTAAATAATGTGGTTACGGAAGAAATACCCATAGAAAAAGGTACACGACAGGGATGCCCAATATCCCCTTTACTTTTTATATCAGTCCTGGAGGTTTTGTTAAACATGATCAGAGGGGACCAGTTGGTTAAAGGAGTTCAGGTCGGAGCCAGACATTACAAGTTAAGGGCATTTGCAGATGACCTAGTATTGACCTTGCAACAGCCAGATACTAGTACTAAAAGAGTATTAGAACTAATTGAGATATTTGGTCAAGTAGCAGGATTTAAACTGAACAAACAGAAAACGAAAGTGTTGGAGAAAAACCTAACATTGGCTGAAAAAGAGAAGTTTCAGAGTGAAACAGGTTTAGTGATAACGAAAAAGGTGAAGTACCTGGGGGTAAACTTAACATCTAAGAATGTGAACTTATTTAAGGACAACTATGACAAATGTTGGACAGAAGTAAAGAAAGATCTAGAAATATGGTCAAGGTTGAGACTCTCATTGTTAGGCCGAATTGCTGTCATCAAGATGAATGTATTGCCTAGAATGTTGTTTTTATTCCAGACGTTGCAGATCTTGGATAAAATGGACTGTTTCAAGAAGTGGCAGAAAGACATATCTAAATTTGTCTGGCAGGGCAAAAAGCCCAGAATAAAATTTAAGATTTTAACTGACGCAAAAGATAGAGGGGGGTTTGCCCTTAAGACTCTATTATGAATCGGCAGCTTTTTGCTGGCTGAAACATTGGCTGCTTCTTGAGAATACAGACATTTTGGATCTGGAAGGGTTTGATAATAGATTTGGCTGGCATGCATACATATGGTATGACAAAGTTAAAGTGCACAAAGGTTTCAAAAACCATATTGTTAGGAAAGCATTATGCAATGTGTGGATGAGGTATAAAGATTTATTGGAAAGTAAAACTCCCAGGTGGTGGTCACCAATGGAAGCTAAAGAGGTGAAAAAACTTAATATGGAGTCTAAATGGCCAAAATACTGTGAAACTTTAGAACAAGATGGTGAAAAAGTCAAATTACAGAGTTATGAGAAATTAAAGTCCAAGGTACGAGACTGGTTGCATTACCTTCAGATAAATGAGATATTCAAACAGGACAGGAAAATAGGCTTCCAGATGGAGAGGTCAAAATTAGAAACAGAACTGTTAGAACCCAATACTAAGAACCTGTCTAGAATGTATAATTTGCTGTTGAAATGGAATACACAGGATGAAACGGTGAAATCAGCTATGATTAAATGGGCACAAGATATTGGTCATGACATTATGTTTGCTGACTGGGAACAGTTATGGACCACCGGTGTTAAGTTTACGGCATGTAATGCCTTAAGAGAAAACATAATGAAAATGATTTACAGGTGGTACATGACCCCAGTCAAGCTTGCAAAAATTTACCATTTGCCCAATAATAAATGTTGGAAATGTAATGAGACTGAAGGTACTTTTTATCACCTTTGGTGGACCTGCCCGAAGATTAAAGCCTTTTGGGAAATGATCTATAATGAAATCAAGAAAGTCCTTAAGTGGACTTTTCCTAAAAAACCTGAGGCTTTTCTCTTGGGCATGGTTGGCCAATTGGTGCCAAGGAAGGATAGGACGTTTTTCATGTATGCTACTACAGCAGCAAGAATTCTTCTGGCAAAGTATTGGAAGACACAAGAACTACCCACTCTGGAAGAATGGCAGAC